CAGTCTCGCCCTCCTGACAGTCAGAGCAGAAATCTGTGAAGAGATGTCCGTCCAGATTATCTGCAGATGTGAGGAGTTTAAAGATCCAGTCTGACACCTCCTGAACTGCTGCAGACTTGGCAGCCACCTTGATAACATCAGACGTTCCATATTCACCAGTTAAAATATGGATGACTGTCATGCTGCAGTGGATGCTGTTGCCAAACAACACAAAACATTCTCACCCTTAAGACTACTGTCAGCTACAGATATTAAAACAGCCAGTTAAACTCTCAGAACACACATATTACCTTTAATCATCAAGACTTGTTTCTGCTTTAATTTTTATCACTGTAAAGTTTTCTTGCAGCAGGTTGTTGCTCCACCGTTCATCTGAATAATATCCTGCAGACTGTTCACATCAGAAGTGTGAGCAGGTCTGAGATCAGAGAGAAGAATATCTGTGGAGTTTCTCCTCATGATTTCAACATCTGTGAGGATTTGAAACTGATGCAGTCTGAACCCCACTTTGGACAATGAGCTCCACAAACGCTGCCAGCAACGGCTTCATCAGTAAACTGCTCCACCTTCAGTTGGACTCTGAGGGACAGTAAAGACTCGTCACTGCCGTCAAACTGAAGAAAACCTCCTGGTAAAACTCCAAACCTCGTCTTCAGCCAGCTCTGATGTCATCAGCTGCAAACAAACGCCCTGATTACTCATTTCCTGTTGAGTGACATCACTGCTTGTGTGTGTGTGTGTGTGTGTGTGTGTGTGTGTGTGTGTGTGTGTGTGTGTGTGTGTGATAAACTCTGGTTCATGGTGAACTGTGAAGTCTGAAGTTGTTTTCTGTAGTACTGGGTTAAAATCTGCTGAAAACATGAAAACGTCTTGATTGGCCTGCACAGATTGCTGCTGTCTGATTGGCCGTGTGTTGTGGAGCTGCTGGATCAGACACATGAAGTTAAGTCATGTTTTACTGCTCAGCTCAGATTTATGGAAATGTTTTATTTCTGCTGTATCTGACTGTAGATGCCCTGCTGAGGTTAGAATAACTGAGACTCTGCTGGTCTAGTTTCTCGTATCAGACTCTCCTTCAGTCAGCTGATTCTCAGGTGTTCCTGCTGATAAAGTCAGTGTTCTTACTGGAAGAATGATGGCCCTTACCGCTGATACCTGTCCTTCAGTTTCCCGTCTCCATGTAAAGTTGAGTCCTTCAGTGAAAAGGTTCGGTCGGTCTGCTGTTGGTCCAGACTGACATTGCTCAGTCTTGTTGTTTTGGATTCCAGACAATAGAAACCACCGTGACTGAATGTGAAGACAAAGAGTCCCAGTCAGTGTTCTGCTGATCCCACATGGCTAGCACAGACGCACATTCAACAGCTGATGCCATCAGCACCACACGTTGGACATTAACACACAAACACCGGCTGTGTCCCAATTCTGAGGCTGCATCCTTCCAAAGTTTGGAGCCTTGGCGTCCATCAAAGTGTGGGTCCTCCGAAGGCCGCACCCTGACCTTTGTGAAATGAGACGCTTCAGCCTACGACGGACTTTTTGCTTGCATCGCCATGTCCCGTGTCCCGTAGCGAGTGTTGTCAAGCAACCCGGGCTGCCGAATTTTTATCTTGAAGATGAGGATAAGACGACGTTGTAATTTTTTGACTGGAATGGGTCCCAAAATTGTGATTTTGTTTTTAATATTTTTTCTAAATATGTGAAGAACTTGAGGTCCTGTCCGGTTGTCCTGGATGAAACCGTGCGACGTGTTCACAGCTTACGTCAATCTGTTAACATTCACTCTCATATGAAAATATTATAAAATCACTACAATCTCGGTCAAATATAATCCAAAAACTGAGGCTGTGTAACTGGAAGGTACATGTTTTAAATTGGCTCACATCAGTCACGTGAACTCAGAACTTAATCAACTCTTTAAAACAAATTTGAAGTTTTTACAGTCTGTTGGTTTTTAACATTTGTGTCGTGAGCTGTTGGACTGAGCTGTAACGCTAAAAGTCAAATCCTCAGCCGCTCATAAATCCATCTTTTCAGGTAATGTGAGCAGTTAAAACTCCAGCTGTTGATCTAACTGTACCAGGGTGCAATGACTCCTGGGATATGTGGGGCTGCAAAGGCTCCACCTGATGAATCCTTTACAGCTGTGGAAAAGAAGGACGCATCGTTGGCCACATTTGAAGGAGTCTTCATGTCTTGATGGAATAGGACAGCTTCTGTTGCACCACTGTGACACATCCAGCCTCCAAGTGCAGGGTGGAGGACAGAGGACGGAGGACGGAGGACAGAGGACAGAGGACGGATGACAGAGGACGGAGGACAGAGGACGGAGGACGGAGGACAGAGGACAGAGGACGGAGGACGGGGGATGGTTGTGTTGTTTTGTGTGTGTTGTTTGTGTACCTACACTTTCAACAGCAACTTGTGTTCATGTTGTGTTTTTGTGTTACACAGGAATTGGTGTGCTTTTGTGGTCACTAAGACAGTGAGCTGTGTGGTTGAAGACGGAGTGGAAACCTACGTAAAGCCGGATTATCATCCCTGCAGCTGGGGCAGCGGACAGTGCAGCCGGGTGGTCGTGTGAGTGCACACAGACACACAACAGACACACAACAGTCACACGACAGACACACGACAGACTCACGACAGACACACTACAGACTCACAACAGACTCACAACAGACACACAACAGACACACTACAGACTCACGACAGACTCACGACAGACACACGACAGACACACGACAGACTCACAACAGACACACTACAGACTCACAACAGACTCACGACAGACTCACGACAGACTCACAACAGACACACAACAGACGAACGACAACCACAATGTGTGAATGTTGGTCTCTGGTCCTGGCTCTGTCTGCAGATATCGGACCTACATGCGGCCGCGATACAAAGTGGCCTACAAAATGGTTACAGAGATGGAGTGGAAGTGTTGCCACGGCTACAGTGGAGAGGACTGTACCGATGGTCCAGCAGGAGCCCAGATGACCTCGAGACCTGGACCAGGACCAGGGACAAGTTATGGACCGGGGGAAGGAGGTGGTCAGGGCAGAGGAGGCTACGGGGGAGGCAGTTCTGGATCTGGACAGTCGGGGGGAACCAGCGGTGAGTCAGTTCATTCTAAAATGTATTCATTTGAACCTTCTGAATGCAAATATTAGGAAGCTTGATTGTTTTAAATAAACCTGCGGCTAAAAGACAAACATCTGTCCTCCATCACCCTCATGTCCCCTCATGTCCCCTCATGTCCCCTCATGTCCTTTGTTCCCCCTCATGTCCCTTCCTGTCCCCTCTTGTTCCCAGCGTCCCTCGTGTCCTCTCATGTCCTCTCATGTCCTTTGTGTTCCCTAATGTTTCTTCATGTCCCCTCATGTTCCTAGTGTCCCCCATGTCCCCATATGAATCCAGGCTTGGTTCATGTGAAGTCAGGTGTAGACTGTGTGATTGGAGCTGCTTCCTTCCCTTCCAGGACGAGGAGAGAATGAAAAGATGAGGCAGCTGGAGGAGAAGATCCAGAGTCTGACAAAGAACCTGCTTAACCTTCAGTCCACCCTGAACACTATGAACGAACGCTTCCAACAGGAGGTCAACAAACCTGGCTTTGGTGGTGGAGGAGGAGGAGGAGGAGTCTCCTCTGGAGGAAGAAACCCTGCCGATGCTGCTCAGCCAGAGATTAAAGAGACGATTCACAGCATCCAGACCAAACTGGACCAACTGGACAACCGCACACAGGCGAGTCAGTCTGCAGCGTTACCTAAAAGGACTGACATGGTTAACTACAAACTCACAACAACTCACAGTGAACAACATCTTAGAGCTGCTGAGACACAAACCTTCAAAGTCAGCAGGAACCAGGTGGTCGTTAGGATTCTGCCTGTTCCTGGTATTAAACTGAGGTGATATCAGAACGGTCCAGTCAGCAATGATTTCAGAACAAACTTTAGTGAAGGTTGATTTAATGTGGAAAGTTTGTCATGATGGAGGACCAAATGGATCTCTGGTCATATGAATGAAATAGAGGGCCTTCAGTAAAGCAATATAGTTGCCCCTGCCAGCCATGATTGCCCCTAACCCTAACCCGAGCCCCCAGTAAACCAGCTCACCACAAAATAGGTTTTTCGTTCACTAATCATGGTTGGCTGGTGGTCCAAAGTGAAATGGGTACAATCCATGTAAACATTACATCCATGCATCCAATTGCTGATGTGTCTCTCCTCCAACAGGCCCATGATAAAACCCTGGTCAGTATCAACAACCACTTGGTGAATGGGAAAGGTAACGAGCCAGATGGAGGTGTGTCTGGAGGAGGACTGAGTGGAGGGAAGCTGAACTCCCTGAAGGAGGAGATCCTGAGGGAGTTGGAGAGGAGAGTGTCGCTTTCCTGCTCCTCCTGCCAGGTAACTCCACAATGAGCCAATAATCTAAAGACATCATGGTGACAACAGTTTGTTTCGCATCACAACATGAACATCATAGTTTTCTGCATCTGTTGTGTCCAACATTCCTGTAAATGTTCTGTCTCCACAGTCAGAAGGGCTGAATGTCTGTCTAAGCTTTGTGTGTCCAGTACAGTAAGAGTCTGTATCTTCTAGCTTCCCACCAGTGTTTGTGCTAAGCTATGCTAATTACATTCTCACCATGGACAGGCAGATGGACAAAGTGCTCAACTGTGATGGCATTAAAAGGGTTAAATACCCATTAATTCCCATTTACATGAGCAGTGATAAACATTTTTGTAGTTTGAGACGTGAGCCTTCATGGTTTGATGTTAGAACAGACTTCAGTGCACACTTGTGTGTTCCAGTCGGACTAATGTTGGCGCGGGCTGTTTTCAGGCTGGCGTGGAGGATCTGCGCAGACAGCAGCAGGAGGACCAGGAGAGGATTCGAGCTTTGGAGAAGCAGCTGAATGCTATGGATGGTCGGTATCGGCAGACCTTTGATGGACTCCGACGGGAGGTGGTGCGTTCGCAGGGATGCTGCGACACCGTCAGAGACCTCCAAAATCGCATCACTGATGCTGAACGCAAGATCAGCTCTGCCTCAGAGAACTTTGATGTTCTGCTGAACCGCCTGGACAAGCAGCTGAGTGGTGCCGGCGGGTCGAGAAGAGGAGGTTCGGTTGGTGACGGCGGAAACAGTGGACAGAGCAGGGATGGCATGGTGACTCAGGACAACCTGGACAATCAGCTGAAGGACCTGGAGCAGCGGATCAACAACACTGTGCAGCAAACTGAGCGGAGCTGCTCATACCTGGAGAACGACCTGAAGGACTACTTCCACAGAGAACTGGGGGACCTGAGGACTGTGTTCCTAGACCGGTTTGATGATCAGGCCTTCAGGATCGCAGATGTGGAGATGGAAGTGGAGCAGGTCAAGAACAAGGTGAGCAACCATGACAAGAGGCTGTCAGAGCTGGAAAACAAGACATTTGCTGTGAACCGTAGGTTGGAGGAATGTAGCTGTGGAGGGTTGGAAGGAGGAGGAGAAAGACGAGGTGGAGACCGAGGAGATGGAGGTGGAAGGTGGGAACCAGGAGGAGGAGGAACAGCAGGAGGAGAAGCAGAAGGAAGAGGAGGGGCTACAGGAGGAAGAGGAGGAGCTACAGGAGGAGGATGGGCAGCAGGAGGAAGAGGAGCTACTGGAGATATAGGGGGGGGAGTCACCAGTGGAGGAGAGGGTATGGGGGAAGGGGGTGGAGCTACAGGGCGAGACAGTGGGGGACACTGGGAAGCAGAGGAAGGAAGCAGGGGAGGTACAGGTGGAGGGTTACCTGGAACAGGAGGAGAAAGAGAAAATACTACGGAGAAATCTCTGGAATGGAGAGTGGTGGCCAACGAGGATCAGATTCGACATTTCAACACTCAACTCAAAGACCTGTCGGTGTCCGGAGACTCTCTGTACGACAAGGTGAGGCGCAGATCACTCTGAACAACATCTGAAGTAGGGCTGCACAATATATTTCCTTTCAGCATGAACATCTTGATGTGAAGTAAAGCAAATGAACTCAAACACATCAGGCTGCTGCTTGATTAAAAAAAGTAGTTGTCATGTTCACTGGCCGATCGAGAAAGGAACTCTGTCTGATAGAACATCACTTACTCTCATTTAGGGCTTCTTGGATTCACCAAGTTTTTTAAAAACTTTATTTAAAAGACGTTTGTTGACATGCAGGCTCCACAGGTGCACAACAGAATGAGCAGGAACACTAAAGGAAGATTTGGCAGCAAAATGAAATCCGCTGTGTGGAAATACTTCAGGAACAAACAGGATAATGTTTTCTCTGTCTGCACTTGTTGCCACCTCACAAGGAAACACGACTCATTTTTCAATCGGCAGCACAAAGTTCTGATAAGTGCAAAGATCCAAATGAATCCAAAGTAAAAGCTCCTTCAGATGTCTTTGCTTGCATTACGCCACACGAGAAAGGCTCCAAACTGCTTTTCCAGCTTTTTAAAAATTATCTGCTGAAAAATAAAATATGGTAAAGCCGGTTGTTTTAAATATTGTGTAGCCCTACTTCAAATGAGAACATATTGTCACTGTAGAAAGGGACTGATGGTGATTTCTTGCATATTTAAATAAATGTCTCGTTTTAAAAAAAGAATACTCTTTCCAACACAAAAGTGCAGTGGAGGTTTATTTTTAATGAACAGGCTTAAATCATGACAGAAACATGATGGGACTGTTACTGTCCAAGCAAATCAGCTTTTCTCTGAACTAAAACCAGTCAAAACATTTCATTGTCTTCAAATGAGCGTGTCTTAACTCTCTGAACTCTAAAACCTGGCTGTGGGTCTCAAAGGAATACTTCATTTATCAGCCAGAGAGCTGAACTGAAAATTGTGATATTTCATCAAAATCACTTTATTCTACATGTCTCTTTTAAAAACAAAATGAAAACTATTCCTTTAAAAGTTAAGCAATTGCTGTAGATTCTGTAAGAATAGCAAAATAAATACAAGGCTTGAGCTCCTCGACACTCGTCTCCATGACTGGCTCACTGGGACCAAACTGCAGCCAGTTTCCACAGAGCACAATGGAGACCAATTCATAATGTACATATTTACATTTTCCCTAAATTTTGGTGAACAAATAAATCAAGAATTCAACTTTTCTTCCTCCTTTTTCGGTTGTTTGTGTCATTCTGACATCTCTGACTGCAGAACTTTATGTTGCAGTGAAAAATGAGGGTTTAGGGTTTGGGTTAGGGTTAGCTACACTTTCCCATTTAATGTTTGTCATTAAGACAACCAGCGCTTTTTGGAAGACAGTGTGGACCAGATTAGCATTTCTATATCACACAATAGTGAACCGTAATTGACTGACTTTTCCTTAAAGGGCTTTCTATTAAAGGAGATGAGGTCAATACCATTGTAATGTTATTATTTGTTATGATGAATGTTAACATGAAAACCGATGTCCAGGTTGTGGACCTGAGCCACGACGTCCGTAAGATCAAGGCTCTGACTGGCGATCATGGAGAACACTTTAACCGAATTGTGACGGAGGTGGAGATGTTGGGGCATGACTACGATTTGTGCAGGAAAGTGGAGGACGAGCTGCAGATGCTGAAGAATCATTCCCAGGATGCACTGGGACGCATACAGAGCCACATCAACAGAATCCAGATCAGGCTGGACTCGGAGGGAGACGGCTGCTTTCGAATGTGTTCAAACCTGCAGGACGAAGTCCGCCAGCTGCGAGATGATGTCAGGAGGTGCATGGGTCAATGCAAGACCGGTCCGGACACATCAACAGGTCAAATCTACCAATGAAACCAGCCGTTACTAAACCTGCCTCTAAGTTGCTGCACGTTGATTGTTTTGTAAGCTACACTTACGTGGAGCTCAGTGTCATGCTAACTTTAAGGTGTTGTCCTGGTCACAGGTCAAACCAGAGCTTCTAACACAACCTCTCTCTCTCTAAAACTTTAGAGTTTTTTCAGATGAAGTTTTTACCCAAAAGGCAATAACTACTTGTACAGATTTACAGGTACTGAATGAGCCTTGCAGCATTTCTTATAGAGCTCAGACATCGCTTCCAAAGTCTTTTACACTGCAAATTGTTTAGCTGATTTATTCAGTCTCTAAATTCTGCACTCCTTCCAGGAATTACGTAATGAAAAGCAGAATTCAACTAACTTTACTGGCGCTATATTAAATCAAATTTGTTTTGGGCCTCTGGATCTCTCTACACTGTCTTCCAGGCAGAGACTCCTGTCAGTTCATTCATGGTCTCCATCAAACTCCACCCGCAATCTAACCAGCCACAACCTGCTTCTTTGACTGTTTGTTTGATGCTGTTTTAGACACAGAACATGGAAATACCAAGATATAGTCATGGAAGACAACGGACAACTTGTTACTTATTCTTTAGCGATCAGAATATTTTGGACAAAGAAAAGCATTTTTAGGAAAAGCAGGTTTGAACTACGAGAGCTGAGCAGTGTCAGACCTAAATGACATCATGATTAAATGTATGAGGTTTAAAGTTTACAGCTTTAATGTGCAGCTGTCAGGTATCAATAATCAGCTGTCAGTGATCAATAATCAGCTGTCAGTGATCAATA